GTAACTTTCTGCCCCTGGTTAGAAATATAGAAAATAAGTGCAGGAGTAGGCCATTCAGCCCTTTAAGTGACATCACCATTCAGTATGATCATGGCTGATTATACAGTTTCAGTATCCCACTTCTGCTTTCTCTCCATACCTCTTGATCCCTTTAGCCACAAGGACCATGTCCAGTTCCCTCTTGAATACATCTAATGAACTGGCCCCAACAGCTTCCTGTGGGAGAGACTTCCACAGATTCACAACTCACTGAGTGAAAAAATTCTTCCTCATCTCAGTTCTGAGTGGCTTGCCCTGATTCCTAGACTGTGACTGCCTAGTTCTGGACTTCCTCGACGTAAGGGCAGACATCTAGTCTTCCAGTCCCATTCAGATTTTATATGTTTCTATGAGACTCCCTCCTTATTATTCTAAATTCCAGTGAGTACAAGCCCAGTCGATTCAGTCTTTCTTCATATGTCAGTCCTGCCATCCCAGGAATCAGTCTGGTGAACCTTCGCTGGACTCTCTCAATAGCCAGAGTGTCCTTCATCATACTCGGAGAACAAAACTGCACCTAATACTGAAGGTGTATTCTCACCAAGGATTGTATAATTACATTAAGACACCACTACTCCTATACTCAAATCCTCTCGCTATGAAGGCCAACATGCTGTTAGCTTTCTTCATTGTCTGCTGCACCTGCATGCCAACCTTCAGTGGTTGATCCACCATTACACCCAGGTTGCCCTTGAGAAGGTGGTTATGGACTGCCTTTTTAAACTGCTGCAATCCATTCGGTGCAGGTAGATCACGATACCGTTAGGGAATGAGTTCCAGGATTTTGGCCCAGTGACACTGAAGGATTATTTCCAAGTTAGGATTGTGAGTGTCTTTGAGGGGAAATTGAAGGTGGTGGTGTTCACATGCATCATCTGTCCTTTTCTTTCTAGATCAGTTTGAGCTTGAATGATGCTGTCTAACAATCTTTGGTGAATTTCTGCAGTACACAAATAGTACACAGTACTGCTACTGTATGTCTCTGCAGGATGCCTGTGGATGTGGTGCTAATCAAGCAGGCTGCTTTGACCTCGATGGTGTCAAGCTTCTAGAGGGCATATGTTTAATGTGAGAGGGCAGAGATACAAAAGGGGTAGAAGGACTCTTCTTCAGAAACAGGACCGAAGGACCTGTTTCCATGCTGTAAACCTCCATGACTATATGACTCTATGAGTGTTGTTGGAGTTGCAGCCATCCAGGCAAGTGGAAATTATTACATCACACTTACTACTTGAGCCTTAGAGATGATGGGCAGGCTTTGAAAAGTCAGGAGGTGAGTTACTTGCTACAGAATTCCTAGACTCTGGCTTGCTCTTGTAGTCACTGTATTTATGTGGCACATCCTGTTCAGTTACTGGTCAATGGTAACCACCAAGATGTTGATACAGGGACTACAGGTAATGCCATTCAATGTAAAGGGGCAGAAGTTAGATTGTCACTTATTGGAGATGGTCATTGTCTGGCATCTGCATGGCATAAATATTATATGCCAATTGTCAGCCGAAGTCTGAATATTGTCCAGGTCTTGCTGCATGTGGACGTGGGTGGCTTCAGTATCTGAGGAGACACCAATTGTGCTAAACATTGTGTAATCATCGGTGAATATCCTCACTTAAGAGTTATAGGGTCATAGAGACGTATCGTACGGAAACAGACACTTCGGTCCAACTCGTCCATGCTGACCAGATATTCTAGATAAATCTAGGTCCATTTGCCAGCATTTGGCTCATATCCCTCTAAACCCTTCCTATTCATACACCCATCCAGATGCCTTTTAAATGTTGTAACTGTACCAGCCTCCACAACTTCCTCTGGCAACTCATTCCATACATACACCACCCTCTGCATGAAAAGTTGCCTCTTAGGTCCCTTTTAAATCTTTTCCCTCTCACCTTAAACCTATGACCTCTAGTTTTGGACTCCCCCACCCTGGGGAAAAGATCTTGTCTATTTATCCTATCCATTTACCTTATCTACCTCCATAATTTCACCCCTCAGCATCAGACGCTCCAGGAAAAATAGCCCCAGCCTATTCAGCATCTCCCTATAGCTGAAGCTGTCAAACCCTGGCAACATCCTTGTAAATCTTTTCTGAACCCTTTCAAGTTTTACAACATCCTTCCTATAGCAGGGAGACCAGAACTGCACACAGTATTCCAGAAGTGGCCTAACCAGTGTCCTGTACAGCTGCAATGTGACCTCCCACCTCATATTCTCAATCCTTGATTAAGGACACCAAAACTATACGCAGTAATTGCAAACTCATAAATACCCTGCACAGTTGTAGCAAGTACTGCAAAATGCTTTATACACCATCACCCTCGAATTAATGGGCAATATTCTATTTGCCCATGTATTGAAAGAGGGTCACTGTACCCAAAACATTCACTCTGCTTTCTCTGCACAGATGCTGCCAGACCTGCTGAGTTTTTCTAGCAATGTCTGTTTTTGGTTCCATTTGCCTTCCTGCTTACTTGCTGAACATATATTTTAACTTTTTGTGATACTTTTACAAGACATCCAAATCTCTCCATGCCACAGCATTCTCTCTTCACTTAAATAATATATTTTATTCTCTGCCAGTCACAAAATTGAATTGCTAAACACAATTGTTGGAGTTCTGAATTATCACTGGATAGTCAGATGCAAAGTACATTCATGATCAAAACAGAATCTTATTCAGTGCAGCAACCCTTCCTCGCATCATTCAGGAACCTTTCCAAACTAGTAACCCAGAATGCTGGTGAGACTCTCCATAAGTTGCTGCATGACTATGACTTTTATTAAAAAGTGTAATAAATGGATGACTATTCTTTTAGATTGCAGATGGTGAAACTCAAATGTAGAGTTTGTGCCAGCTGCAAAACAAAGTAAAACTATCAACTATCCTTATATAAGGCTGCTACAAGAAACTACTGACTGCTGTGAATCTATACTGATCTAACAATAATCCATTGGAAAAAGATTCAATATTCCAAATCTATGCCTAATGGTATAATTATTCACTGAACCTTATTGCCTTCACATATTGGGGAAGCAAAAAAAGACCTAAATTACTTTCTGTGTTTATACTGCCAAGGTCCCAGTACTGTTGTCTGCACTAGAGTATTAATCAATTACAAAAATGTACTTGATTGTACTAGTATCAATCAAGAGCAGAGTAGGTTTAAAAGCAAAAGATCTGCATACATTTTTAAACAAGTAATACGCATTATTTAAAGTTTGAAATAAATGTAGAAAGTTATTTTGGTAATGAATTACCAAATTACCATTTGGTAATGAATGAGTCTGTGAACTAAATTTCCTTTCACTTTTGAAACAACAAACGCCAAGTAATGTTCTTGGGACTTCTTTTTAAGAGCTACTATAAATATTACTGTGACAAGTTCATGTAACAGTTCTGAGTGCAAACACTATTATTATTTTTTAAAAAATCAAGGTGAAAGGATAATGTTTGAATAATTTTCCTTTACCGATTTTTTTGTTAAAATATCCACATGATGGTGCTTTTTTTATGGCAATTAGTTTTTGGAAAGGAACTTTTTTGTTCTGTACTCATGGATATTTCTGTGGTGGTAACAAACTGAACATTAACATGTCAATATGCCATTTATTTACATAAAGATTCACTGCCGAAATGGAGGCTATAATCCGATGACACATGAAACCAGATTGAGCCTGACTTCGAGAAGAGGCTTCATGGGCCCAAAAATTAAGACAAAAAACATTCAACTTCATTACCACGTGTAAATCAAATGGTTTCCTATATAAATAAGGGAATGGTTTCCTCCCTGTTTTGATATATAAAACTTACCATTTTAAGCAATGTTCTTTTTTTAATAAAAAAGTAGACAAATGACATTTTTTCTTTTTTTTTATAAAGCCAAGCATGCACACATTTTAACTGCTGAATTTTTTAAAGGAAAAAGGGCGAGTGAAAGCCCTCCCCAGCAAAACTTTTAATCTACAGAGAAAGAGAGAAATGCAATTGTACAGTATTCATCCCCATGAATTGATTTTCTTTTTGAAAGAAAATTGTTAAAAATTAAAACAGGTAGAGATAGAAAAGAGGGAGAGTAAAAGAATGGCAATGTAAAGCTTAGTTTTTAAAAAATAATTTCAGAACGGTTGATATATAAGAATGTTATTCGACGATTCGTCTCCTGCAAGCTCAGCCTCTGTCATGTTTAGAACATCAATTTTCAACAGGGTTTGGGGGTTTCAGAAGAAGGCTTTCAAAAGCCATTTTTCCCCACACAACAGTACAAGACTGATAAACGATGTCTCACTGAGACGTTGCTGGTGTAACTGTTTGTAAAAATAAATAAATAAAAGTCTCAGTAAATTTGATGAGAACAATTTTTTCTCTTAAAGAAAAAAACACAAGAGTGTTCAATCTTATGCAATTCTTATTTGGTCAAACTGTTTGCATATTCGTTCTAAAGAGTTTGATTTTCCTCTTTTTCCGCCGGTTTAGTGCTTGGTGATTTTGGTTGGCGAGAGCAAAAAATGTTATTCCTCACAACATTGTCACTCAACACTTTCTAGTGCAGCAGTGGTGACAGGGTTCTCTACAGATTTTACACTTCTAACCTTAAGATGGAGGGAAAGTCATTGATGAAGCAGCTGAAGATGGTTGGGTCCAGGACACTACCTTGAGAAACTCTTGCAGATGTCCTGGAGCTGAGATGACTGACATCCAACAACATCAAGAATTTCTGCACTCTATTTTAGTTTCTATTTTGACTGAAAATGCATCATGTGAGATTCCAACTCTCACCTGCCTTCCTTCTGTTCATTGGGGCTGGAAATTAATCCACAATTTTCAATGCAAAGGGTTGTAGATAACCACAGTTAATTATTGAGCGTCCGCGTTGTAATTGTCTAAACTTTAATTGATCTTTTGACCAGTTGGGGAATAGAATGAACAGAGGGATTTCTATATCATTCTTCTTCATCTCTCATTCTTCTTTTCTGTAGGCATGTACACTGGCATTCATGGTGAGCCAGGAATGAAGGGGCAACGGGGGAATCCAGGGCAGCCAGGAAAAAATGGTCCCAAAGGATATGTTGGCCCAGCAGGGCCCAAAGGTTTACCTGGCGCTCTTGGAGCCAAAGGACAGAAGGGAGAATCGGGGCGAGGGGGCGGTCTACAGGGGAAAGAAAGACCTGCCTTCTCTGTCGTTAAAAACACAGGCAATAACCTTTCTCCTGAAAGTCCAATCAGATTTGACAAGGTAATCACCAATGAGGGAGAATGTTTCAATATTAATCAGGCTAAGTTCCGTTGTTGTAAAAATGGCTGGTATTTCTTCACCTATAACATGGCCTCCGATGGGAAACTATGTGTGAACATCATGAAAAATAGCAGAAAGGAAATTGGACTCTGCGACACCCACGGGAGCAAAAATAACTGGCAAAGACATCAGCTGAATTCAGGCGGGACAGTACTGAGGCTAAGAAAGGGAGATGAGGTTTGGCTTCAAACCACACCTGGTCACAACTATGTTTTTGGTTCAGCTGAAATCAACAGTATCTTTTCTGGGTTCCTGCTCTTTCCAGACAATTAATGTTTAAAACTATTTTGGATTAATAATATTTTGAATGCTTTGCCATAAGTCAGGGATCCAAGAATCGGCTGATTATGTGATTGACTGACATTAATACATCTGCTCACCTGTAATTATACACTATGCCTTGTAACCCTTGCTAACTGCTGGGAGTGACTATATCCATATCCATAAAAAAGGAGAAAACAGAAGATTACATTTTAAAAACCATTATAATTGTCCAAAAAATGAAATCAGTATCAATCATTCCCTTTCTCAAATGTCTACACTTGTCCAACATTTTCAGTTTCCGTTATCTGACTGCCAATTCTGTTTATTATAAAACTATTATGGCTACAAGTCGTATCTACTCATTGAAGCAACATGTACCTACCAGTTAAAATAGAAGCAAACTATTATGAATGATGGAGACACTGCTCCCCTCTCCCTAATTCACAAAGATACTGTTCCCCTCTCCCTCATTTGTGGGGATACTGTTCCCCAATCCCCCATTCACAGAGACAGCATTCCCCTCGTTCCCATTCACAGAGACACTGTACCACTCATCCCCATTCACAGAGACATCGTTTTCCTTGTCCCAATTCACAGAGACGCCGTTCCCCTCTCCCCCATTCACAGAGACACCGTTGCCCTCTATCCCATTCACAGAGACATTGTTCCCCTCTCCCCCATTCACAGAGACACTGTTCCCCTCTCCCTCATTTGTGGGGATACTGTTCCCGACTCCCCCATTCACAGAGACAGCATTCCCCTCATTCCCAATCACAGAGACACTGTTCCGCCTTCTCCCATTCACAGAGATACCATACCCCTCTATCCCCATTCACAGATATACTGTTGTCTTCCCCATTGTCCACACAGAGACAGTGATCCACTGCTCTGACCTTTCCGCCTCCATTTCATTTGTAGTTGGAACTGTAATTCACGTTGCCAGTCTACTTCTCTTTCTTAACTCCTTATCCACTCTAAGAATCACTTTGCAAATCACAACATGGGTACTGTTTCTTCCATCTTCTTTTGATAAGCATCACCCCAAACTCCCCCAAGGCTGCATACAGGTACATAAGATAGATAACACCACCAGACTCTGCTCCTGTGGCATCACCACTGTCTTATGTACAATCCAAACATTTATGAAAAGTTTGCAGATAATAGGACACTCAAAGTGAGAAATAACTTTGATTTTACATCAGCTCTCGAGTGATAAATTCCCATGTCAATATTGTATGGAATTTATTAGTTGGGATAACAAATTGTACATTTGGACTTGCCACGAGCAATCTGTGTTAATGATACAGTTGAAAACAGCTAATATCATTTACATAATCACTTGGTAACATTTCCAGGTCATTCTGCAATTCACACTCCAAAATGTTGAAAAGTTGGACCAACACTTTGTATTGAAAACCAATTCCTGAACCCTGCATTCTGAAATTTCTGTTTGTTAGATTGTAATAAATGCTTTACTGTATTTGTATAACATGTTTTTATTCATTCCTTTAATAATAAAATAAATGGGCATTTCCCCAACAAGTTGCAAGTATAGAAACTTCTTATATGGCTAAAAGAATAAACAGAAATCCGATGTTTTACCTTTAATTTAAACATTGGAATGTATATTTTGGTTGTAGGCAATTAGGATTAGACATTAGCTGGAATCAATTAGCCCAGATTTGGTTCCCTGTCCAATAGGTATCAAGTATTATCTTTGCAGACCCAAAACATACAGACCCAGGGGTACACAGTCCCAGGGGTACACACACCCAGGGGTACACAACCCCAGGGTTACACAGACCCAGGGGTACACAGCCACAGGGTTACACAAACCCAGGATTACACAGCTCCAGTGTTACTCAACCCTGGATTGCACAGCCCCAGATTTATATGGAACCAGAAAGACAAGCAATGTATAATCTCAGGACTCCAGATTATACAGAAATGCAAAGCCGACTGATGTATGAGGAAAGACTGGATCGACTGGGCTTGTATTCGCTGGAATTTAGAATAATGAGGGGGGATCTCATAGAAACATATAAAATTTTGATGGGACTGGACAGGCTAGATGGGGGAAGAATGTTCCTGATGTTGGGGATGTCCAGAACAGTCACAGTCACAGTCACAGAAGGCCACAGTCTAAGAATAAGGGATAAGCCAATCACAACTGAGATGAGGGAGAATTCCTTCACTCAGAGAGCTGTGAACCTGTGGAATTCTCTCACACAGGAAGCTTCTGGGACCATTTCACTAGATATATTCAAGAGGGAGCTGGACGTGGCTCTTGTGGCTAAAGGGGTCAAGGGGGGAAAAGGGGGTAATGAGATAACGAGATTACAAGATTAACCATGAACATACTGAATGGTGGTGCAGACTCGAAGGGCCGAATGGCCTACTATATTCTATGTTTCTATATTACTTCTGTTAAATAATGAAGGGCCTTCCCTCTCGATGATGGAAGTAATGATGGAAAGCTCTGGATTGGTTATTTTGAATTTTTTTTATTCATTCATGGGGGTGTCACTGACCAGGCAGCATTTATTGCCCATCCCTAATTGCCCAGAGAGCAGGTCAGGACTAAGAACATTGCTATGTGTCCAGTGTCATACACAGATCAGACCAGGTAGGGATGGCAGTTTCCTTCCCTAAAGGACATTAGGGAGCCAGATGGGTTTTTCCGACAATCAACAATGGATTCATGGTCATCATTAGATTCTTAATTCCACTAGGCCATTGCCTCCCCATGGTATAAAGAGGGCCTCCTCCACATCAGATAATATTGCCAGCTCACATCACAGGACGCAGTGTGTGGTGTACAACGTTGATGTGGATGAATTGGATGGAGAGCTGCTCTGAAAGTAGCAATGCAGGTGAGCAATTTTTACAAATCCTTATTGTTTGCAGCAACATTCCAATCTTTAAAGTAAAGATTAAAGCTAGTATTTCAGTATTGGAATTTTTTCCAATTTATTCCATTAAATGAAGTACTTCAATAGGATAACAGTTTACAGGCTGCGAAATATATTGGGTCAATCCTCTGATGAGCGTCAATGCTATGGGATTGTCAGTCTGTTTCATAAATTATACCCTGCTCTTGAGCTATATGTTTCTAATTTGGACTTCAAACTTGAGAAATGTGGGAATTACCAATTGGAAACCTCCTACCACAATGCAGAATTAGCCCTGGGGTTGGGTCATGCTCTATTTGGTACTGCAGTGGTAACTGCAGTATTCTAAAATTTGAAGGTCCTAAAGGTCAAGGCGAGAAGGCAAGTGTATAAAATAAGTAGGTGAGAGATGATACATTGACAAATAAATGGATGAGTGGCTAAGTTGATATTTGGATGAGTGTTTGGTAGCTAATAGGGGTATGGTAGCAGGCAAGTGGGTAAGGGTGCGTGACAAGAAGGCTGTCCTCCCTCAACCCCTAAAATGTTAATAAACTGCCTCGCATCCTGACAAGGTGTGTGAGGGAATAGGTTGGCAGATATATGAGGAGGTAGGTATGTGGCAAATGGGTAGGTAATAGGCAGGAACGGTGAGGGAGGATTCAGTTTGGGGTTTGTTGTGGTGGAGATTGGGTTGAGGGGATATTCAATGTGTCAATGAAGCAATTGGGGGGTCAGTGATGAGTCGGAGGGTTCAGCTTCATAGTTAGATTTTGTTTTGATTTATCTACATTTTCATGATGAAGTACCAAGTTAACTAAGTTGTAATCCATCAAAGTTTCCGATTCTAACTCGGAGGGTTCTGGACAACAATCAGAAGTCTAAATTTCCCCCAATAACCGTGGAGCCAGTGTGCCAGAATAATGAGGGATGCCAATCCACATCTTGCAGGGCACTCTACTGCAAGAGGTATCTTCCAGTCACAAGGTCTGGGCCACTGTGTTCTAATATTCAGAATCTGAAAAAGTAACACATGAGAAATAGAGAATATGAACCCTTCTCCTGTAAAGCCATGTTAAGCCAGATCTTCAAAAGTTGTGGGCAACAAATTGCATTTTTGCAGAATCTTTGAAATGCCCATTTCTGTAACTCTGAGTGACAGGGACTGAAACCAGATTAGCAGGTGGTCCAGATTGTCAAATATTGGCCCAGATTGAACGTTCATTGCCAGAGACTGTAGTTCTGATACTGATTATGATTTATTCTACACATTTTTCCTTTTTCACCAGGACTTTTGCACCTTCCAATGATAAATCCAGCACAGAGGCAAATGGAGGTGGGAGGCAAATTATTGAGAGTAATTACAGCACAGACTCATTCCTTTTCTCTCATCCTGACCTGAATACATGGCCTTTAAGATCAGTCTTCAAAACTGACAGTGTTAACACTCCCTCCCTCTGACACTGTTAACACTCCCCCTCCAACAGTATTAATGCTCCCCCTCCGACAATGTTAACACTCCCCCTCCGACGGTGTTACCACTCCCCCTCCAAAAGCGTTAGTGCTCCCCCTCTGACAGTGTTAATGCTCCCCCTCTGACAGTGTTAACACTCCCCCTCTGACGGTGTTAATGCTCCCCCTCTGACAGTATTAATGCTCCCCCTCCGAAAGTGTTAACACTCCCCCTCCGACAGTGTTAAAGATCCCCCTCTAACAATGTTAATACTCCCCCTCCGACAGCGTTAATGCTCCCCCTCTGACAGCGTTAATGCTCCCCCTCTGACAGTGTTAACACTCCCCCTCTGATAGTGTTAACATTCTCCGACCGCCAGTGTTAACACTCACCCTCTGACAGTGTTAATCTCTCCCTGGTGGTGTTAACAAGCCCCCTCCAACAGCGTTACCACTCCCCCTCCGACAGTGCTAACACTCCCCCTCTGACAATGTTATCCCTCCCTGATGGTGTTAACAAGCCCCGTCTCCTCAACAGTGATCACTCTCTCACTCTCACCTCAACAATGATCTCTCCCTCACAAAATCTGCTTTAGCGTCTTTCACCCCCTTTAATCCCTCACCCTGTCACACCACTCACTCTCTCACACCCTCTCCTCCTCACACACTCTCCCTCTGACAGTGTTAGATGATGACACAGTAGGATGCTCCTGTCAGAAGTCCTCTGCTCCGCCTGTTCTCTTTCCCCCTATTGCCTTTATTCCTCTTCATTTTTCTTCTTCTCTCCCGTCAGCACCAGAGCCAGAGCAAGTCCAATGCAGCAATTCCTCATGCCCTTGAACACTGCTAGTAGCGAGCCCTACAGCAGCGCATGGGCTGCAAGCCCCATAGTGGTGCAGGGAACAGCCCCACAGCAGCACATGGGGAAGCAGCCCAGGTGCATCGTGCAGGCAGCAAGTGTGTGCCGCCGGCATGAGGGGGAGCAGGCAGGAGCAGGCAGTCCAGCCCAAGGCAAGTGGGAAAAGGCAGTCCGAGGTGGCAATGGAGGAGACAAGTCCCCAGAGCAACAGTGGGGTTGGTGGGGGGGACCTTGTTCCAGATCAAAGGAGGGTCTGAGGTATGAATCCCAGTACAGCATGACTTAACTTGTTGCTGCTGAGTGCCAGTGAGGAGCGAACTGGTGGCTGGAGCGATACAGCACAATTGCTGGACTTGAGCCTGGTCCCACTCGCTGAGCTGCTGTTATTGGACTGTAATTTAAAACCTTTTCACTATGTTGAAACTACCTCTTATGTTTTTCTTTAGTCCTCTTTGTGCAAGACCACTAATTTTTTTTTATGCTGTAAGATTTGTACATTGGTACTTGTACCTAAGATTGTGCCATTAAGAGGCAGCCATTGTAAAAACTTTTCACTGTACTCCTATACTTCAGTACTGCAGTACAAGTGACAATAAAGGATATTCTATCCTCCCTCTCACACCCTCTCCCGCTCACACCCTCTCTCCCTCACACCTCTCACACCCTCTCCCTCTCACACCCTCTGTCCCTCACACCTCTCACCCTGACAATATGACTCTTTCAATATTGGACATGAGGCAGAATTTCTGGAGGGTGAGTTGGGAGAGTGGGTAAGTAAGAGTGCAGGAACTGTTTGGGTCGGAGGATGTGTCAGTGAACCAGGAAGAGGGTGAATATTGCCGGCTGTGGCGGTGAAATTTATCAGCATGATGGAGGGGGTGGGAGAGATGAACATTGTTTAGGTATCAAGAAAGTCCCAAAATAAGCAAGGAGGACAGAAGGATATGTAGGAGAAAACAGATTATTGAAACATTTTTATTTGGTTCTTTGCAATGTGAGTGACATCAGTCAGACAGCAATTATTGTACAACCCTGGTTGCCATGATGATATGAAGAAACAAACACCAAACAGAAATAAATTTTCATATTTCAGTAATGCTGAAAAAGAGGCCATAAATAGGCAGGCAGCCCATTATATATGCACACGACTCAAAAAATAGGAGTGCAGAAACCAACAGGAAACTTGGCCCCTTGAGCCTGTTTTGTCATTTATCAAGATCATGTCTGATCTTTATGCCAACATAAACAGAAATTGCTGAAGAAACTCATTAGGTGTGGCAGCATCTGTGGAGAGAGAACAGAGTTAATGTTTTGGGTCCAGTGACCATTCTTCAGAACTA